TCATACCGAGGCGAACATTGGTTTGACATTTTTCCTACACATGATGGATTGAAACACGCATTAACTGCTCATAAACTCTCGACTCTGAAGAACTAAAATTAATTTTTGACATTATATGAATTTTTTATGATTTTATATTTTAATAATATACTGAAGAAGACCGCGTGCGGTCGAAACGTTTATTTTAGAATGACTGTATTTTTGCGTTAATTTTAATATTCAATAATTGTAACTTAATAATTTATATATGAAATAAATATTAATTGATTGAACAGCTTGAATAATTGCTCGATAGTTGGCCTTGCATTTATCACTTTTTGTTTTTTACTTTTTCTCTACTATCCTCGTCTCCCAGTACGTAATCTATTACTGTGTTCCCTCTTCTTCCTGTAAAAGTCCATTCCCCCTTCTCATCTCCTTTTGTGTTTCCATTCAATATGCTCCATCCTCTTTCTTTCAAAAATTCTAATAATTTTTTTCCTTCTGCGTTGATTACTCTGTCCTTTTACTTTCCCCTATCCTTTCTTCTCCTGCATTTTCTTCTCCCCTTACTCTTCCCCCTTTCTTTCCCTTCCTCGCATTAAAATCTCCTCCTATTATCCCGTGTAAACCTCCTCCTCTTTCTCTTCTGTCCACTGCTCCATTTCTTTACATACCTTCTCTATTCCTTCTTCTGCATATATTCCTATCACCTTCCATCTTTCTCCCCCTACCTTTACTCTTCCTACCATAAAACCTTTCTTTTCTATTTCCATCTTCCTTCCTTTCTGCGCTATCTTCTTTCTTATCCCCATAATCATGCCTCCTATCGCTCTTCCCCTCTTGTTCTTTCTGCCAGCTCCTTGTACTCCCCACACGTATCCTTTCGGCAAAATTCTTCTGACTTTCTTTCAACTCTTCTCTTCCATCCATGTTTCTGTCAACACTATCACATCCCATTTCTCTAATCCCTTCCAAAAATCCTTATCCTTGTTCCCTACTCCCGCCACATTCCAAAACCCTAAATTCCATTCTTTTTCACCCGTCCTCCTCTTCCTTTCCTCCCTCTCTATCTCTTCAAATCTTTTCCTTATCTCCTCTTCTCCCATTACTTCTTTCCTTACGTTTCCTTTTAATCCTTCAAGACCTCCTTTACCTCATCCCATCTCCACCATTTTTCTCCTATTCTTATCCTGCCATTGTTTATCCATGTCCTTTCCCCTCTTTTCTCTTCTCTCCATGCTATTTCTCCCAATTTCCGTCTTACCTCCCTTTCTTTCCACGTTAGGTCCATGCCTATCCTTTCTTTTCTATCTTTCAGATCTATCATCTTCTTCTTCTTCTTCATCCACCTCCCATTTCTGTTCTTCCTTCTCCAGTTCTACCACCACCATCTCTCTTCCTTTTTCTCTATTTTCTCCTATCTTTCTTATTTTCATTATTTTCACTTTTGCCTCAATCTCCATCAAATTCTCCACTCTCTCTCTTCTTTTCCCTTACTTGACCTCCAGGCTTCTTATCACTATATTTTTCTCCTTTTCCTCCTTTTCTAGCATCTCCCATTTTCTTTCCATCTCCCCTACTCTTTTCTCTCTCCCCCCCTTCCTCCATCCTCCTTTCCAGTCTCTCTATTCTCCTCTTCATACCTTTCATGTTCTCTTTTATTTCTTCCTTCTCTTCTTTCCATTTTTCAATTTGTTCCTTGTAATCTTTTCTTATCTCCTCCATCTCCCCTCTTATCTTCTTTCCCTGCTTGTTTATTTCCTCTCTCATCTCTCTCATCTCCTGCCACATCTCTTGTAACATTTTTTAAATTTCTCCCTTCTCTCCCTCCTCCTTGCCTTCTCTCTCTGGTAATCTCGTTATTTTGTTGCTTCTCTTAAAAATTTCTGCTCCCTCCTCTCCATTCTTTTCCTTTAAATCCCTTTTTTTTTCTTCAACAATTTCTCTATGTTTCCTATGCTGCCACTTCTTTCCTTTCCTTTTTTACCCATCACTTCTATTAATCCTCCTCTCTCAGCTCCCTTAATTCCTTCCTTCTTTCCGCTCATCCTGCTTTCTAAGCTCTTATGTTCCTTTTTCTAACCACTTTCCTCTCTATATTCTTCTTTTTCCTTGTTTTCCTTTCTACCTACTTATTTACCTCTCTATGTTTTCTCTACTCCTTGCTTCTTACTTTCTGTATTCCCTAGATATTCCTTAGCGCCTGCTCTCTTTTCTCTCCTTACCCTGCTTCCTCTCTATACTTTCTATACTCCCTGCCTACAATCAGCTGTCATCCAGCCTCCTATTTCTCTTTTTCCTATCTCCTCCTTCTAGCTATTATCTCCTCAACTATTCACACCCTCTCACTTTTTCCCCGCTTCCTCCTTACACTATCCTCTCCTCTCTCACTTGCGCTTTATACTCTCTAATCCCTTTCAATTATCCACACTCGCACTCCACGTGTACAATGCGTTTGCACCGGAAACGGAAGTTCTATATGAAACATATATTTATATACAGGATGTCCCAGAATTGATAGTAGAAAAAATAGGCATATTCTACAAGTCAAAATAAGGTAAAATTGTCCTATAAACATATGTCCGGAAACGCACCCCCTCTGAGCTACAGCCCCTCAAAGTTTCCCAAAAAAACTTGAATTTTCCGTATATTGTCTAAACTTGGACTTAGAATTTATGAAAATTGGTACATACACATTTCTTTATGCGTTTTATTTATTTTTATTGTCAAAAATTGTCTAACAAAATTTTGAAGGGGATTATAGGGGAGGGGACTACTTTTCAATATGACAAAACTTATGTGTGGATGCAATAAATTTGAAATACATTACAATTTATAACAGAAAATACAAAAATAAGCATTTTTTGACTCTTTGATTTTTTTCATACGACAAACCGTTTTTGAGATAATCGACTTAACAATAAAGACACCTGTATCTGTACCCTACGGCTCAACCTATGGGCAAGTTTTGCGCGAACTATGTAGTTCGCGCGCAAAGCACTATCCGCTCAATCCACAAATGATAGATTACAAAAAATAAAAACAAAAATAAAGACAAAACAAAAGAAAATGTTTGTTATTTTGTTATGATCATGTTATTTTAGTCCGTTTTCGTCGATGGTTAATAATAGTCGATGGTAAGTTAACACACAGTGATTATTTTTTCTCTCTCAATTAAAAATTACGTTTTCTACGTTACAGAATTTATTTTTATAAAATGGCAACATTTAGTTTTGAAGAATTGGCTAATATTCATTTTATGTACAGACGTGCTAATGGCAATTCTTTCGAAGCCCGGCGTCTTTATAGCAAAACATTTCCGAATCGTCGACTTCCAGATTCTAGAACATTTATACGTAGTCATCAACATCTCAGAGAAAATGGACAATTTCAGTTGCTTAAAATTAATGCAGGAGCAGATAGAAGGATACGCATACGCGGAAGTTGAAGAGCAAATTCTAGATATTATTGACCAAACTCCCTCGACAAGTACAAAGCAAATCGCAAGTATTGCGCAAATTCCAAAATCAACTGTATGGCGAATATTACATGATAATTGTTATTATCCTTATTACATCCAACGTGTGCAAGCATTGCTTGAGAGATTTTGCGCCAAGGCTGAAATTTTGTCAATGGATTTTAGAGAAGTATGCCAGAAATCCACAATTTCTTTCATTAATTTTATTTACTGGCACATAATTTTATTCGAGGCACAATTTACGAGAGATGGAATCGTAAACTTCCATAATAACCATACATGGGCAACTAAAATCCATATTCCATAACACAATGCAGACACCAGCAACAATTTAGTGTCAATGTATGGCTGGTATTTTAAGTGATCATTTAATAGGACCGTTTTTTCTTCCTCGTACTTTGAATGGTGAAAATTATTTATATTTTTTGGAAAATAATTTGCAAATTTTATTGGAGGACGTACTTTTAAGAATTCGCCAAGAAGAATGGTTTATGCATGATGGTGCCCCACCACATTTTAGAATTGCTGTGCGCGAATATTTAAATAATCAATATCCGAATCGGTGGATCGGGAGAGAACTAATTGTAGCGACTTGTTCGTCATCCTCGTGGAGGAAATTCTTGACACGCGATCACGTCGCAATTGGGAGGAATCACGCGAGAATAGCACGGAATTGCCCTCGGTGGAGGAGCTACAGGCGTTTCTCAAACGGCGGGCGGCTACACTCAAGGCCTTGTCACTAGTGAAATCTGAGTCTCATCCGACCAAGGTCGACTCAGGATCGGCTAAAACGGCGCGCGCACACACAAAAGGAGAACACGCGATCAGGCCAGTGTTCTCTGTGTCCGCGCAGTCATTACATCATGCAGTGTGATGAGTATCGACGTAAGACCGCACAGGAACGAAAGTCTTTCGTCGAGGACAAGAAGTTGTGCCTCAACTGTCTGGGTAAACACGCGGTAACGGCATGTACTGGCAAACGAACGTGCACCGCATGTGGCAGCAAGCACTACACCACCCTACACGATGCTTATAGTACTGCTGCTGGGGTCTCTACTACTGATGATGCTCCATCAAAAACGGTGGCACATACTTTCCACAGCACCAAGGCGTCCAACCAGGCAGTGCTTCTTGCCACTGCGCGGACACTTGTGGATGACGTCCATGGCGAGCATCAGGCTGTCCGAGCCCTAATTGACCCTGCATCGGAGGTCTCCATTGTGACAGAGGCGGTAGCTCAACGATTGCGGCTTCCTCGCCTGCCTTCCGCCGTCACTATCTATGGAGTTGGAAGTCAGCGTACTGGAACGGCGAAGGGTAAGGTGCGGATCACCGTGCGCTCCAGAACGAGCGACTTCTCGCTCGAAGTGGAGGCGCTTATTCTTCCGCAGCTAACGGCGCGAGCGTTACGAGTGGATGCTGAGACGACTACGTGGCCGCATCTTCAGGGTATCCGGCTGGCTGACCCTACGTTTTAGAAGACGATCCGATCGAACTGCTCCTTGGAGCCGACGTATACGCATCCATTATGAAACAGGGGATGCGTAAGGGCGCTCCGAGCCAACCGTTGGCACAGCAGACCACCTTCGGATGTATCTTGTCGGGAGTCGTGTGCGCTGCCGGCAACAGTGATAGCGCGACGACGTTACAGTGCACTGTCGGCGAGGATCTAAACACCGTAGTAAGGCGGTTCTGGGAACAGGAGGAGCTGTCTGAACCATCAGGGATCCTGTCTAGGGAGGAGCAACAGTGTGAGGAAATCTTCGTGCGTACGCGCGGCGCTGACGGACGATACCTGGTGCGCCTTCCTGTGGTTGGCCTCTTGCCAGACTTTGCTAGCTCCCACCGCGTGGCCTTGCGATGTCTGAATCACATGGAGAAGCGCTTTCAGAGGGATCCAACGTTGCAAAAGCAGTATCAGGGGTTCATGCGGGAGTATGAGTCGCTCGGGCACATGATACCCGCTGAACCGCTCGTCGAGGGTCAACGAGGCTGCTTTCTTCCGCACCACGGAGTGTTTAAGGCCTCCAGCATCACCAAGTTGAGGGTCGTCTTCAACGGTTCGTCACCGGTAACCAATGGAGACACTCTCAATTGCCACTTGAGCGTCGGAGCGAACTTGCTACCTGCGATTTCCGACATCCTGACCAGGTGGAGAAGGCACAAGTACGTCATAGTAGCCGACATTGAGAAAATGTACCAGCAAATCCTGGTGCATCCGGAGGATCAAGACTTGCAACGCATCCTGTGGAGAAACAGCCCGGGTGAGCCGGCGCAGGAATACAAACTGACTACAGTCACATATGGGTTATCTTGTGCTCCTTACCTCGCTATGCGAACACTGCAACAACTGGCCGAAGACGAGAGAGCGAACTTTCCATTGGGGGCAGCCGCTCTTAGGGAGGACTCGTACGTGGACGACGTCCTGACGGGTGCGGACTCTTTGGAGGATAGCATCAGCATCCGCAGAAAACTAACTCAGCTATGCATGGCGGGCGGATTCCCATTGCGGAAATGGGCGGCTAATTGCGAGGATCTTCTTCAGGGAGTCCCTTCAGAACATAGAGCGCAACCGCTGCCTCACACGCTGGAATCACTCGGAGATCAGGGTACCCTGGGCTTGCGTTGGCATCCGCAAACGGATGAATTCTCGTTCGTCGTCCGAAGCGAAAAACTGGGACCAATCACGAAGCGCTTCATTCTATCGCAGACAGCCAAGCTCTACGATCCGCTCGGATGGCTTGCTCCCGTGGTGGTCCGTGCTAAAATTATGTTTCAGACGATTTGGCTGCGCCATCTTGATTGGGATCAACCTCTTGAAGAAACTGACGCCGCGGCGTGCAGCAGCTTCAGGAAGGCCTGCCGCAACTGGAGCGGGTGAGAGTGTCTCGAGGGCTGCGAACCGTGTCCGACCTTACTGAGATCCATGGCTTCGCAGACGCATCCGAGAGAGCCTACGCGGCTGTGATCTATTTGCGCAGCCTGGATGACTACGGAAGAGTCTCGACGTCTTTGATTGCATCGAAGACAAAAGTCGCGCCTATCAAGCAGGTGTCATTGCCTCGACTGGAGCTGTGCGCGGCTGCGCTGTTGACCCGGTTAGCTTTTCATTTCAGGGCACTTCTGAGCATTCCAGTAGAAGACGTGCATCTGTGGACGGATTCTATGGTCACATTGAGTTGGATTCAAGGACATCCCGTTTGCTGGAAGACATACGTGGCTAATTGCGTTTCAGAAATTCAACGGACATTACCTGAGGCCCGATGGCATCACGTTAAGGGCGTCGAGAATCCAGCAGATTGCGCTTTCAGGGGATTGACTCCTGGAGAACTTCTCAAGCACGAGCTGTGGTGGCAGGGTCCTTCCTGGCTGACGACATCAAGCGCCAACTGGACAGCGGAGCCCACGTGTCGGCCAATGAACGAACCACCGGGAGCTAGGTCAACCATTCACGCTGTCAAGGCAAGAACAGACGCTGAAACGCAGGAGCTCACACAATTCTCGTCATTGCATCGGCTGTTGAGGGTCACTGCGTGGTGTCTCCGATGGCTGAAAGCAGGTTGTGGGCGGTGTGGAGAGCCGCCGTCGACGTTGGAAATTAGAGAGGCTCATGCACGATGGATCACCATCGTCCAAGGGCAGGCCTACCCCACGGAGATGAGGCTACTAAGAGAAAACAGAGCCGGCGACGTCCGGGGTCCGCTCAGCAAATTGACGCCTTTCATCGATGCGGATGGAAAGGTCAGGGTTGACGGTCGGCTGAAGCACTCTCTTCTTAGCTTCAATGAGAAGCACCCGGTGATACTTCTGCATGACTTCACCGCCCTGTGCGTAATTGTCTGTCATCGTCGAACACTCCACGGGAAAGTGCAACTGACCTTGAGATTGTTAAGGCAACAGTTCTGGATACCACGCGGTAGAATGGTGGTCAAGCAACGCATTCGCAAGTGCATCACATGTACGCGATGGCAAGCGGCTTTTCCACAACCGTTGATGGGCAACTTGCCGACGAGCCGGGTCACTCCTGGACGACCCTTTCTGGACACTGGAGTGGACTACGCAGGGCCAGTGCCGATGCGCACTTCCCCAGGTCGTGGACAGCGAGGTCGCAAGGGATTCATCGCAGTCTTCATCTGCCTCGCCACGCGAGCAGTCCATCTCGAGGCAGTGTCGGACTGTCTTACGGATGGATTCCTGGCAGCATTTCGACGGTTCGTGTCCCGGCGGGGCATGTGCAGAACAATGCACAGCGACTGCGGCACGAATTTTGTTAGAGCCGATGCCCAGCTACGAAACATGTTTTGGGCTACCAGTGTCGAGGCACGCCACATAGCAGAGAGGGTCGCCCACGAGGGAGTGGAGTGGTGATTTAATCCTCCGGCGTCGCCCCATTTCGGTGGTGTCTGGGAGGCAGCGGTGAAATCAATGAAGTTTCACCTGCGTCGCGTTATAGGCGAGGCGGTGCTGACATATGAGGAAATTGCCACGCTCCTCTCTGAGATAGAGGCATGCCTCAATTCACGACCATTGCAGGCTCTTACAGACGACCCGGAGGACCTGACGGCACTCACCCCTGATCATTTCCTCATCGGAGCTCCTCTGATGGCAGTGCCCGAACCATCATTAACGAAGACACCTGCGAATCGATTGACCCGGTGGAAACTGCTGCAGCAAATGCGGGATCATCTATGGCAACGATGGTCACACGAATACCTGCAAAGATTGCTTCCCAGGACGAAGTGAACTAAGGACGAGTCCAACATCAAGAAAGGTCAGCTGTGTCTCATCCGGAATGAGACAACAGCTCCGTGCCTCTGGCCACTGGCACGAGTGACACAAGTGCACTCAGGCGATGACGGTCGCACGCGGGTGGTCACTGTCAAAACAGCCACCACTGAGATGAAGCGGCCCGTCGTGAAACTTGTGCCGCTTCCGATTCCACACCAGTAAAAGTGCGGTTTGAAGACGCGTAAATACGTAAAACTACGCGAGTGCATTATGCACTATGTTGCAACGGGAAAGATTTCGTCAGCATCTGACGAGGCGGGCGGCATGTTTAAAATCATGTAAAGAGATTATCTTTCATTTAATATTAAATGTATTTACGTGTATCGGCGAGAGCAAATTTTCTATTTTCGGACGCTCCCGTTGGAATCAGCTGTTGTCCACGCATATTTTGACGACAAGCAGCTGATCTCAGCGTGATCGTCGGAATTTTGGAAGATTCAAGTCAGGGCGAGGGGTTTGCGAGCGCGGGGCTCACGCAAGGGTCAGCGTTCTTCGCGCACCAGTATCTCTCTGCGTGTCTTGCGTGCGAGTGATCTCCGTCGCTTAGCAATCTGATTATTACTGCTACGTGTTCGTCAAAATTTAAGTGTAACATTATTTGGTTGATAATAAAACGTTTATTTGATCCTTATAATCTTCTCACTACTATAACACGCTCGACGTCACTCACATTCGAAAGGTGAAATATTCTCCGCGAGTTCGTGCACAATATATATATAGTAACTGTGATTAAGTTTCATTCGGTCGTATAAATAGTTATCCGAAAAGTAGGGCCAATGTAATTGGTCGACGGCACACCTTTGGCGCGGAAAGCGGGAGATTAGCGAAGACACAATAAATTTTGTTTGCCTGGGCGTCAGGCGCGAGATTTGCGCCACTCTAAAAATTCACAATTAGGAAAAGATCTTTCGAAAATCTGAAAACATCCCGAAAATTTCTGCGACGGCAATACTCGACTCGCTCAGAGCGTCAAGGAGTAGCGGGGGGAGTTCGGACGGGAAAGAAAAAACGGAGGTCGAGAGTGGCTATTTAGAATTACTCAGTTGTAATATTCATGGAATATATTTTAATAATGAGGTAAAGGAATGACAACAATATTATAAAATATAAAAAAACTGTTAATCTCGGCTCGAATTATTGTGTTACAATACAAATAAATTCTCGACGGCAATCGGAGTCTGTGCGGATGACATGCACAAAATTAATAAATTAAAATGAGATCTCAAATCAAACTCATTTATTAAATTCTAAACGTTTCGACCCACTTCGGGTCTTCTTCAGTAGCTGCAAAATACAAAGAAACAAAAATAAAAGATAATCGGTACAATCAGAAAATTATAAAACTCGTATACATACAATCCGCAAATAAATTAAATATCATTCTCCTCCCTATTCAAACCGTCCGGCCGTCGGAGTGTCTCCCTAACGGTGACCATCGTCAGGAAGGAAGCAGAGCAGTGACTCCCTTACCAACACTAATCAACATAGTATAAATTAAACGTATAAGATCCACAAGAATTATAAATTAAAAACCGGGAAGAACACTCACCCCGACAGCAAAAACAGAGAGAAGACGATGCTACACGTGACACATCACTCTAACGACTGTGCGGTATTCTACCTCGACACAGTCGATACATATATACGCAAAAAAAAACAAATATAAAAATAAAATATGAAAATAAATATAAAAACAACTAATACTTATCGGCACTCATGTCAAAGGTCTAACGAAAAAATCCGGTTATGTATAATCACAAAGCTAGATTTTGGTAAATTTTTCAATTAACAGATCAAAATTCTCGTTTAATTTGTCGGTGTCGCTATGTAAATTTAAACTATTTTTCTGACGCTTTATGTGGATCATTTCGGATATCAAACGTTTACCTAAAAAAGGCTCCTCGTCCAAGATTTTTACATCCTCCCAATTAAATTCATGGTTCAATAATCTATGTTCCGATATGACTGATAATTGTGACGCGTTTCTTTTTATGTTGCTGCGATGTTCTTTCATCCTAGTTTTCAACAATCTACCCGTCTGCCCTACATACGACGCATCACAATCCATACAATCAATTTTATAAACTACATTGTTATGGAGTTCCCTTGGTAACTTATCCTTGTGTACTTTGATGAATTACGGAGACTGTTAATTGCTGTATAGGATGGAATGACATCCAAATCACGTGTAATGTCCTCGATTCTCTTCGATACATTATTGATATACGGAATATTAAAGTACGAAACTTTTTTCTGCGTTGGAATCTTGTCATTGCATATATTTGCTCTATTGTTATGCAACTTATTATTGTACCGGAAGAACAACTTTTTTAACCGCGCTTGTAATGTTTGAAATATCAATTTGAGAGGTTAATTATTAGACAAAAGAACTCCAATCATAGACTCAAAATTATCTTTATGGAATTTCGGATAAGATAGCCAAAAAACTCTATCTATGAGGCTGATAATGGTGCCTTTTTTAACAATGTAGTTTATAAAATTGATTGTATGGATTGTGATGCGTCGTATGTAGGGCAGACGGGTAGATTGTTGAAAACTAGGATGAAAGAACATCGCAGCAACATAAAAAGAAACGCGTCACAATTATCAGTCATATCGGAACATAGATTATTGAACCATGAATTTAATTGGGAGAATGTAAAAATCTTGGACGAGGAGCCTTTTTTAGGTAAACGTTTGATATCCGAAATGATCCACATAAAGCGTCAGAAGAATAGTTTAAATTTACATAGCGACACCGACAAATTAAACGAGAATTTTGATCTGTTAATTGAAAAATTTACCAATATCTAGCTTTGTGATTATACATAACCGGATTTTTTCGTTAGACCTTTGACATGAGTGCCGATAAGTATTAGTTGTTTTTATATTTATTTTCATATTTTATTTTTATATTTGTTTTTTTTTGCGTATATATGTATCGACTGTGTCGAGGTAGAATACCGCACAGTCGTTAGAGTGATGTGTCACGTGTAGCATCGTCTTCTCTCTGTTTTTGCTGTCGGGGTGAGTGTTCTTCCCGGTTTTTAATTTATAATTCTTGTGGATCTTATACGTTTAATTTATACTATGTTGATTAGTGTTGGTAAGGGAGTCACTGCTCTGCTTCCTTCCTGACGATGGTCACCGTTAGGGAGACACTCCGACGGCCGGACGGTTTGAATAGGGAGGAGAATGATATTTAATTTATTTGCGGATTGTATGTATACGAGTTTTATAATTTTCTGATTGTACCGATTATCTTTTATTTTTGTTTCTTTGTATTTTGCAGCTACTGAAGAAGACCCGAAGTGGGTCGAAACGTTTAGAATTTAATAAATGAGTTTGATTTGAGATCTCATTTTAATTTATTAATTTTGTGCATGTCATCCGCACAGGCTCCGATTGCCGTCGAGAATTTATTAATATTATAAAAGTTTGAGTAATATGATATAAAAAAAAAATAATATTCTTTAGATAAGTTATCAATTAAATTCCGCGCACTTGTCGTTCGTGGCGGGCGGCGGATTCTATCGGACGCCGAAATACAAAGCAATCTAAATCGGAGGTTACATTCATAAAAATAAGGTACAGCAAAAGTACGGTTGGCACGCGGCGCGGTGTTATGATCCCGCGACCTTTTGACCCGACGCGGAGATATCCGGTTACACGCGGAATTCGGGAGTAAACTTGCTCCTATACGTGGCAAATTATTCACGCACGAGACTTAATACGGTCCGTGCGAAGTAATTGATTCTAATAACCGCGGCACTACACAATTTCCCGTAAACTATAATATGTTCCGCGCAATTTATTCCTGATATCTATTTCGCGGGACGTCCTTCGCGCAAGTACACAAAATAGCTAATATACCCGAATAATCGCAGGCGCAAGAAAGAATACGCTATCTCTCTCCTATGCGACGGTAGAGACGATCACATACCACGCTTTATAGCTCTAACGGACGAGAGACGGCACAATAATTACGAGTACAAGAAGTTATTTTAGATATCAGTACCAAGAAATCACGGCGACTGTCGGCGTATCCGCGGGAATGTGCGCGCGGGAGAGAACGCGCGGTCGGGCGCCGGGACAAAATTCTACGCGTAATAAATCTCTCAATTCTCTCTTAACATCTCGAAATGGCACAGGCGAATAACTGGTAACCGGCCGCGAACGTGACGCGCATATCTCCCGAACAATCAACTCGAAAATGGGCGTTTTTACAAGTCTAGGGCGGTTTGTTTCAGTGGTATCTGCGTAGTCGTCGATGCTTCGGCATCCAGGATCGGGAACCTCTATCCTCGGCCACGTTCCGCCAGACAGTCACGAGCGAGAGGCCTGCCGGAATCACGCCGATAATAAATTGGGCGTTTTCCACCTGTGGCGCTCTTTATCCTGGCAGGGCCGCCGGGCGTCCCGCGGGGCCCCGCGAATTCGCTCAATGATAATTCTTTTCGCCGTTCCTCTGTCCTTCCGCCTAGAATTCCAATGCTCCTTTCTATACTTTTCGTCGGGAAGAATCCTACAAGCGCACCGTCTCTGCTGTTTCTTCTTCCAAAAATTCGTCCGATCGATTG